TCGCTCTTAGGTCGGAGGCCATTGCTACTAGGTTGGAGGCCATCGCTCTTAGGTTGGAGGCCATCGGTAGTAGGGTGGAGGCCATCGCTATTAACTCCAAAGATTGTGGGCTTCTAAGGGGTGCAAGTTCCTTCGTTCGGAGCCAACGCCTCCACGCCACGTGTAGTAGAAGGTGAAACGAAGGCCCGGGAAACCAACCCGATGGACAAAGATGTGAAGAAACTGGATCCAAATTGTTGGAGGAGACTTGACAAACATGGGAACTTACAGTTGTTGCAATGGAACTCTTTGTATGAGGTTGAAAGGGAATCTATTGAATGAATCCCTGGTGATGCTTCTTCTTTAATGGTCCAAGTGGCCTTCCCTAGCAGGCTGCTGCTGCTGCTTGAGCAAGGCAGTCATACCGTCACAGGTGTTCAATAAAATATTGACAAAACAACATATAAAGAGTCGATGCAGCCGGTGTTCAGTCTATCTGTCTCTCACGGTGCTCCGTCAAACTGATGACTTCTTCGAAAACAACGGGGTCTGAGTAGATGCCAAATCATGTGGTTGTGGGTCTTCAATCCGCTCCGTTTTGTCTTTCTCTGGCGGAGTGAACTGGTGAGATCACCAGTGCCTGGCTAGACTGTGCTTTTTCATCAGGTCATCCCTTTTGGTGATGACGGGCCCTATACCCAGTCGAGGACGCAGTCGGAGGATGGGTGTGGAGCTCAAGCTCGCTCGACATGGCCAGACCGACACCCGCTCGCATTGCGACGACCGCCTTGCTGACCGGTCACGATCGACCGGTCGCGACGGTGCCATCAATCGAACCTCAAGGATTACTCCGAAGGAATCAACAGCACAGTAGGTCCTAGGTGGGGATGTGAAGGGAATCAACACAAATCAATCCCAAACACTCCATGTACGGCATATTTACATACATTGGGGTGGTGCCAGGGGGGCCAATGGGGCGGCATGACGTCGACCTTTTCTTCGCTCCTTTTCTTCCACTTCTTCGCTTGTCTCTGCTTTCAGGACAATCGACCTGCCAAGAACACAAATGGTATACGGCACTGTAACGCAGGTTCCGAGGTCAAAGGCCTTAAGAAAGTACGGCAGTTAAGGTGGGTGAGGCCTCGTCACATCCCCATCCGAAGGTTGCGATGGCGGGAGGTTCGCATGTCTACCTTCAAAGGAATCACCTGGCTGGTTTCGCCCCAGCCCACGATCAGGGACCTCCAGGACTCCAGGACACCCCTTTTTCAGGTCCAGGTAGGTTTCGTCTTCTATACTGCCTCGTCAGCACGTCGCTCTTCTACCAGTGGGCTGTGAACGAAAATAGACCCTGTGACCATCTGCCACCCACTTGAAGTTAGACCAATCCCTGTGAATTCCATTGAATGCCGTGGTGGTGTCGCCACACGAATCCATGGGAAGACTTCAACCCATCATCCACCATTGGACCATTGTCCTACATGTTTCTACTAAGTCGACAACAAATGCAGATTTATCATGATTCATCCTGATTCATCTGAGCACATGTATTTCTGAACGCCCCATTGTTGCTCCCCATCTACCCACTGTCACTGTAACCACAACATTTATAATCCCTTCCACCTACAGAAAAACAAACCCGGGTCCCCCTGTAAAAAGAAACTCGGGTGCGTTGTTTGTTCTTCTTTAATAAGGGGTCCCTCTAATGGGGGGTGTCCAAAATAGGGTCAGTCTTTTTGAACTAAACATTCAGTGCAGATTGCGTGGCATGCGCAGCGTTTTGCCAGGAACCAGGGTCAGCAACATGGTCGATTTTGAACGACTTTTTTGGGAAGCTGATGAACACAAATCCACCAAAATCGACAATGTTGGTAGTTTAGTAGCGGCTTTTAGGGGTCTGATTTGTGTTTTGATTTTTTTTTGGGGGGCAGCCTTTTGTAATCCATATAGATGTATCTAGTGGAACATGGTTGAACATCCTCTTCTTGGTGAAAAGAACCAACGCCAAAACCAAACGCTGCGCGCTGCTCCCCCAGCTCCGCCTCAGCTGCTCCGCTGTGAGGCCCTTCGTTCTTGCCGTGTGGCGAGCACGTTCCGCCTGCGCGACCGGCGACGCACTGAAAAGGACCGCTTAACCAATAAAACAAACGAAACACCCCTTAAGACAGGGCCCCCTGGCCATGGGGTGGTTAGTGACCCTGAATCAACTCTAAGGAGCTATCATTAGACACCCCGAAACGGGGGCCTGGAAGATGTCCAATGTGTTAAGTGATGTCTCTGTGATGGGTTTACGTTCTGTCTCTTTGATGTCTCTGTCACCCTCTTTGTTGGGTTTTGTTCATGCTTTTTTGTTCACCCCCCCAAGAGACAGAGACATCACTGTGACTTTAAAACACTGTTTTGTCGTCTAGACCTTTGCAACTTCCTGGCAAGGGCAGTCTGACACGATGTCTTGATAAATGAAGACATTTTGCGACACAGCTGCATTGATCCATATGTGATGCGTGTGATATAGACCTAAAAACACTTGGCAGAGTTGGGGCAGATCGCAGTTTCCTTCGTTGGACATCGATTCAACGAGTTTCTGCATTGGTCGTAGAACATCTCGACTCTAAGATATCTCCATGAGGACACGACCCCGACTCGACTGCCGAGAAAGGAACTCACCGGGGAAGAATCGGTTCGAACTCTGCAGTTCGAATGCACAGGCTATGAGTGTATGAATTGCATATATAATATACATGCATATATAAGTGCTATAGGTATGTATTATGCTAGGTGTATATGCTATAAGACTCATCTGCTATGCTAGGTACTATGCTAGGTATATAATTACTTGACATATCTTGCTAGGTTGCACTTCCTACCATTTATGGAGTTCAAACTCACTTCTACCAGCACCCGACTCGAACTACTACTCGGTCTCTGTTTTCCGGGGGCTGAAAGGTCAAGTCGTTCGGTGGCAGGTGGTGACCTGGCGGCGGCTTCGTCGGGTGCTGGCAGACGGATCTCTTTTGAACTCCACCTCCCCACTCCATGGCTCTTCATTTCAAACCTCTGGAGAACCACCATCCCACCATCCACTGCTCACTGCTGCTCGCACTGCGCAAGTTCGCCTCTTGGGCTGTAAGCCCCAGTTTCTTGGGCCTCGGTCATGCTCAAAACAGTGCTTGAAGACCACCCATCTAAGCCTGACAAGTCTGACCGTCTGACCCAGTCAAATCTGGTCCTTTACATCCTTGAGTATTATTATTGTTGCCTGACCAACTCCAGTATTTCATGAGGTCAAACTGATCTCATATAGGGAATTAGTATGAGCTAAGATTGGCTGCTTCCGTTCGTTCAGCCAATCCCAGCCGTCTCCGGATCGTTCCCAAGCGACATCCCGAGTGTCGGAATCGACCCGACTCGTCGGACTGAGCGGCCGGACACTTTGGGAAGGCCGCCTTCCAGCCAAGCTTCCGTGGGCACTCGGTTTTCATACTTCCAGTGCCTGGCACTGGCATGTGCAGGAAAGCAGGAAAGCGAGAAAATCTAAGCCGATGAAAAGCTGGTGCAGTGTGGAAGTGTTGGGGGCACCAGAAGCGGTGTCCAAGACAGAATGTGCTGCATTCGACATGTCCTTTAGCGGCTATAACTATGAAGCATGCGTAAAACACCACGCCTCCCCAAAACACCACATCTGCAAGAACACAGAACCCGCCGCACATTTGGGCGGCCAAGCGGGGCTTGGGCGGCCAAGCGCCTGTAGTAGATCTTCTCTCCACGGATCTCCGTCCAACGCCAGCGAGGTCTCTCCTGAGGGGACCCGCAGGGAGACCCCCCCAAGATCCCCAAGGGGTTTTTGGGAGAACCAAAAGAAGCTACTTGGGGCTCCTGGCATTGCTACTAGGAGCAAGCACGCTACTAGGGGTTCCTGGCCTTACTACTAGGACTTAAGAAGCTATTAGGAACAAGAAGCTACGAACGGGGCTCCTGTTTGGACCTGTTTGCCCTGGCGTCTCCAGTCGTGTGCTTTGCCAGTCACTGCTTCTCCGGGTTTCACCATGTTTCACGTCAACCCCGCCTGGCGATGGATCTCATAAGCCTTCCGCGGGAGACCTGCCGAGTGATGAGGATCTGCCAGGCATGGGAAGAGGTGAAGAGCCTCTACATACGGGAGGATGAAAGCCTTGTTGGTGGAACTACACTTTTTACCTGCATTCTTGGCGGAAACACCTTCCTTCTCCGTCCTGAGCTTAGTAGCCACTATATCACGATGGTCACTACTTACCCTAGCCTTCCAAGAGCACAAAAGAAGGGGGGCCTGGTGTTATAGTGTAAAATCCTGAGTGAAACAATGATGGTTGGAAGCCTATAGATAGGGTTATGTTATTGCACCTTGTTCTCTTCATGGATTCAACCTGGAGAGGAAATCATCTTTCAATGCAGAATTGAACGGCTCGCGCCAGGGGTCATTTTTAGTAGAATGTAACATATTGCGATAAACAGGACTTGCTTGGTCAATGAGCAATGCAAGTCCACAGAAAAAGCAAAAAGGGGTTGGAACCTTCAGCTGAGAAAACGTGTTACGAAAGGGTGGAGTGGAATGAATTACCGCGCGCTACGACGGAGCTAAGGGACCAATCGCCGATGGACAGAACAGTCAAAGTGTTGCAGGTGCTTCTGATTCTCCGGATTCCGGCCGCAGGGAAGCCTTCCCAACTGTCGACCAAAGAAGATGGTCGAAACCACCAAGCAACTGAGAGACATCTTGAACTCAAAAACACCTTATAAGCCAACCAACCAAAACACCATCCAAATACTGATGGATAAGCCAACACATAAGCATCATAAGCCTCCTCCTCCAGCTCCACAAAACCCTCCCAAATCCGCCGCGGCCGCTGCGCCCGTCCGCCTCCTCCAGCACTCCTCCGCAGCGCCCGCACGGGCGCGTCGTCGGCGGCGGTGTCCGCGGGTGCCTCAGCTCCGTTACGGACTGGTGGGTGGGTGCCCCACACGAGGTGCAAAGCGGTGCAGCTTCTGGCTCAGAAGAACATCGGCATGGACGGTGGATCACCTATTGACACACCAAAACACCAAAACTCTCCCCAAAGCCTCCAAGAAAGACACCCTCCCCAAACGGCCCATCACTCCTTCCTTCTAGCTCCTTTGCTTCCAATGACGATCCCAAACCACGTTCGGCCACACCGCACGCACTTCCTCCGCTGCTCTGTCGAGCGCGTCGCGTCGCGCGTCGCGTCGCCGCTGGGCGTCCCCCGCCGCTGCTTTCGATGCGCCCGGGGGTCGCGCCACCCAGGTCCGAGCTGCGAAGGGGCCGAGACCGATGCGGTGAGTTCAAGAACACCCTCTAGCTGCAAGAGAACTGCATGTAATTGAAGGATGAGACATCATGGTTAGGTCATGGTTTATATCTTAATCTTAAATAAATATATATCAAGAATTGCCCTAGCCTTTTTTCGGTCTGTCTTACAGACCCTCCTTCGAAATCGTCGAAGCCTCTATGGCCGGGCCCACGGTTTTCCGTTTTGGATCCGGTGAGGTCAGCCTCTCAGACCAGGTGAACAACGCCCGGCACGTGACCTGGACTTGTATTAATTGATACTAAGGAACACAAAGGAAAACGATGCGTTTTATAGAACACATTTGGAGAAACTGTTTGAACACATGTTCCAAGTCGACCTTGTTGCAAGTCTGCATCCTTTCGAACCAACGAGTTTGTCCCGAGCGGTGGACGATCTCATCTTCAGAAGTCTGACCTCGTTTCAAGAAGATGAGGTCCTCACGTGTCCTCACCTCGTTCACGAAGAAATGGCACATGGTCCGTTCTGTTTCGCATGTTTTTGGGTGTGGGTCGCATGGTGGTCTCCCGTGGTCACCCGCGCATGGGAGGTCTACATACCTCCCCTTCGTTCTGCAAGGCATCTCTGCACGAACATGAGAGCCTCCTTTCACCTGAAGCTTGCGACGTCGTCCACTGAGTCAACCCAACCAACTTCCCCAACTCCTTAGGTCATGAACCCTCAACCCTTCGCTCCGGCCGTCTCCCCACCTGTCCGCACTCCACGTCGAGCTGCCACGTCCACCAAAACCACGCGCCGGAGCTGCAACATCAACGGCGCGGAAGCAGCTGCATCGGGGAGATGAGATGTCAAGAGGGAGTGCTCTCTGGAGTGCCAGTACTGAAGAGTTCGGTGGAAAGCTGTTGGTCAACCTCGACGGATGCTGTGCTGGATCGGTGTGATCTGTGTGAAGGAATGTACAGGAATGTAAAGGAGCTCTTTGTCTGATTGGATGAAGGAGCGGCTTCTCTCTGCGGATTGGATTGGGAAGTAGCCCGAGTTCTTCTGAGACTGAGTTGTTTACAGGTGCAGTTCAGACGCCAAACGCCTCGGTTTGTGTATGATCTTGAAGACTCTGAAGTAATTTGAGGTTTAAAAGTTACGCTTGGCACAGGCTTGTAGTGATACTTCCGCCGCCTCCGCATGTTTCTTTCAGCAATCGTGGCTCCGCAGACCGAAGATTTTGAGAATCTATTCCGCCAACAATGTCATCACAATTTACCTCTCCCTCCAACCCAGGTCTACCTGTGAAACGCCTCTTTTCCATGAGATGCCGTGCGCGGTGTGCGCAGAACTTGAGGGTCAAAAAGTCCGGTGCTGTCGCAGCCTGGAAGAGACAAACAACGGTTTGACACGACGGATGGAACTGGAATAGTTACCCCCAGACGCTCATGGGCTCTCATATGGAAGGGTCGGACCCTCATGGAGGGGTCTGGGGTCTCAAATCCCTAGGTTTTGAGGGACCAAGGGCTGTTTGGAGCGTCTGGGCCCTACCTAAGAATCCAGGCCCTCAAACAGATACCCAGGGGATAGGGTTTACTGAGGGCCCGTCCGACCCCTGCGTAACTCGGTGTCGGGTCCGACCCCTGCCATGGAGAGCCCGAAGGATTCTTAGGGATAGTCATTTTCATGGGTAAATTATGGTGCATGTATACCTGGTTCTTCCAAGAAAACCGTACTTGATCACCTGGTTTGAGGTCACTTAAGCCTCCTAAGGGTCACTGAAATTGTAACGGGTCACTTTGAAGAAGCTTGTATATAAATTGTGTCAACTATTCCAGTCCCACTCGTCTGGGTTTCAGCACCCCGAGGTCGACCGTCGACACGAGACACGAGACCAGCACCTGGTGATGCGGATCGCAGGGTGAGATCCTGGAGCGGTGTAGTAACTTGGTGAAAACCAGACAAAATAACGATAGTTAACGCTATAGTTACTATAACCAGGAGTCACAAAGGGGTGCCTATTGGAGATGAGGGGTGCCCATTATCCACTCACTTAGGGACCAAACACTACCCCATTGTGACTCCTGGTATAAACTCAGATCAGTCATCCCTTCGCTCTACCCTACACTAGCGAGGCCTCCAACCCCTAAGGGTCCACCATCCGTTGCTCGGATGTCCTTTGATGCCAAGGCCATTCTCTGGAAGTACGAACTCACCTCCAATACACTCCTCATGGGGTACTTTGAGCCTATATGGGAACATGAACAAAATGCATCCCCCAAAACAAACCAGCCAAATCGTTCCGTTGAAAACCCAGACAAACCAGCTGCGTCGGAGCTGCTTCCAAAAGGGTCTCCAGGGTCATCCGAATCGGATGTCCTTTGACCCCCCAAGACCATTCTTTGGAAGCACTTTCACCTCCAAGACCATCCTCAGGATGGTCCTGGACCGGGCTCCCTTTGCAAACGTGTTTGGCCCGCTGAGCCGAAGTACGTCCTCATCTTCCCATCATTCCACAACCATCGCGACCCGCCGCACCGGGCTTCACCGTTGGCCATCTTGAGGCCGGCTTGTGAAACCGGTCCGCGTCCGTGAAACCGCTTCGCGTCGCCTTCCGCGCGCCTAACGCTGGATGAACTGCATCGAGCTGATGGCGCCGAGGAAAAAGACCGTGGGGATCTGACGCCGACCGAAGCCGCCGCGGTCGATCCGGGAAGGGCGGTCGAAGTCGAAAAAATCGATGCGTCACGGCGACGCGAATTCCGGTGAAGGGGCGCTCCCGTCGTCTGTGAGCCGGTGGAAATGAAGGAAGCTCCGAGGCAAAAGGAGAATGGTGCCTGTAATATCATGTAATATCATGTAATCCTCCAAACGGTTCATTTTTCAAGAGCCGACGTCATGAGGAGTCAATCTCGTTTTTTTCGAACAGATTCTCTTTGATCTATGTCCTGCACGTGATCGTTCCTCCATTTTCCAATTAAACCGGCGGCCTTGTCACATTGTCTCGACACAAGTCATTTGGTTCACCGAAGTATCCTCCCTTCTTTCAAGCCGTGACCCTTCGAATTTCCGGAATTGAATTCATGCACCTACTCCACCCTGGGAGTCCCTTTTCCGTTTTTCCTTTTTTCCACTTCCAGGCCCAAGGTTAGTCAAATGAGGATATTCCTGGACCCTTGGGCTCGCTTTCTGCTCGAAAAGCTGAGTCCGCGCCGCGTCCGGAGCCGAGCAGTCGCCCCACCCTCGGAGCCCTCGGAGCCCTCGGAGCCCCGGCCACCAATGCATGAACTGCCAGCCATCGGAAGGTGAAGATCGGGTAGGCCACTGGGGTCCTGCAGCCCAGCGAAAGGGCTGCAGAAGTTGGGCGTGGGAAAGAAAGGTTATTCTCAGAATTTATCAGACGTGTTCTTACTTCGACCATCGGCTACCACCTTTTAATCGCTCAGTACTTCCTTTCCCTGATCCTCCGATCCTATGCTGAGGATGGTTTTTGCCACGACCGTTGTGAGACTGGTCTTGGGGACATTTCCCTGTCAGAATGGCCCCGGGGCTCAAGGCCATTCTGGAGAAGAGTTGGGTCCAATTGGGTGGTGAATTGGTAAGATCCATGATCATACTGTGTGCAATCCACACAGATCTCAATACATGGACATTGATCCCTGAGACAGGGATCTGAAACATAGTGCAATATTCCGGTACAGAGCCGCTTGAAGTTACATATATCTGTCAGAAAGTTTGCGGCCTGACAGGATGCCAGAAGAGAATGTCAAAAACCATATGTTTATATACCCACAGGTATTGTCAGCATCTCGCTGCCATGGGGCTTCTGAGATCTGCTGCGCTGAGAGGTGCGCCCTCCCCCAAACAATCTGTCGCGAGTTCAAGCGGATGAGATTGATCACTATAGCTAGAAGCTTTTTTACAAATCTCAATTGATGTGGTATAAGTACTAGTATACTTATAAGTTATTGGGTTTGGAAATTTGTGATATTGTAATCCAATTATCCTAAATATATCAAACCCCTCCCATGGCCATAATTTGGATTTGGAAGTTGGATCCATCACCCTGCGTGCGCCCCTTCCAAAGAATTTTTGCTCGCTGGTGGTGGCTGCCCAGTGCCTCAGCCATGGCGGGTGTGGAGGATGGTGACTTGATTGAGGAGGCCAGGCAGGCTGGAAACCGTATGATGCGGATTCAGTGGAAGAATGGGGAGAAGGTCATTACCCACCCTCTCAAAGTGAGGGTTTCTGCCCTTTGGCTGCCCTCAACATTGTGTGCAATAAGAGTTTGCAGTGGTTGGGACTTTGTGTATAATGAATCCCGACCCATCACCACCCAAGGACATTGCACAGAAACTTTTCGATGCAGTTCGACCATTCGCTGAGAAGTACATGGCTGACATCATGAGCTCTGATGTATCGAAGCTGAACTCATGATAGAACTATATAGGACATGTGTTCACCCTGCACCATGTACGCTCGTAGTGCGTTTCCTTTGGCTACACTATGTCGACATGCCCTTCTTAGGCCCGCAACATCATCAAATGGAAGGAGCGCCAGGTGCAAACTGTGACCCAAGAGGATGCAATAGAGAATTATGAACTTCTTCGGGATTATCTTCTTTTGGTGGGGAACACGTCACCTGTTCCTGACTTGCTTCATCACCAGGCAGGGGCTCATTGCCACTGGATGGACATACAAAAGCACAGTCATGGAATCAATTCTAAAATATTCTAAACTCTCAAGCCATCTCACCCTCGTGCCAGCCACTCCCAGCTGAAGGCCTGCATGATCTTGATATCGATCACCTACAACCTGCACGCCCAAGTCTATGGACGTCGGGGTGGCAAGGGGCTCATTCGTGACGCTTGGTAGTGATCGAAGGGTACCTTTTTTGGTGCACACTGAACTTGATGTGGCTAGCTCAACAGGAATTTCCAACATTCTATCAGGATTGGGCCAACCAGGAGGCAACCCGATTGAAGTGTCTGGGAGCATACATCATGCACATCACGCAGAAGTCGCCAAATTCAAGGAGATTCTGTGTTTGACACTTATACACATGCTTCTGGATGTGAGATTCCATGATTCAATCGGCAATTGATTGTTTTGATCTGGCTTAAGCACAGATGCAGGGATGAGAAGATTCATATCTTGAAGAGCATAGTGGTCAAACTTCATGCTAAAAGTGGCCAACCTCTTAGAAAGCGGTCGAAGAGCGCACAGTCACTGGAATCCCAGGCCAGGCCTGCAGTCTTTCATTGCAATCCAGAATGATCCTGAGGTCAGTGGAGTGCCCATCCAACAACGGGTGATCAATATACATACAATTTTTTGTTTCAAACTATATAATATATATTTTATACACCTGAATTTGGTGTAGGTATCCCAATGCACTTGTCATGTTGCTAGATTTTGCCATCCCCCACTTCACTGGCAGGCGGATGATGTTGACCCTCCAGACCAAGTGCACCAGCCGCTTGAGGATGCATATGCAGATGGAGACCAAATGCCCCAGGCTGCGTGGGCCTTTGGGTGGGGATGTGGCTGCATAGCGTTGCTGCAAGGAAAAATGCAAGACTTATTATATTTGAAAGTCGCACTCACCCCTTTGATGTGCGCATTTGTACAGTACTATAGTATACTATAGACTATAGTGCTGGACCTTCCATTGCTGATGCTCACAAACAGTTTACATCCTGATGCTCACTGCTGCCCAGCCCTTTTGAGTGCAGGATTGCTTTGTCACCCCCAAGATGAAAGCGGATCTGCAAGTGGCAACTTGCCAGCAATCAAAATAATTGAGTGCTTCTGATCACTAATGTATTTCCCTCGGGTTCAAACCTGCCACTGAGCACCCGCCAGATCTCTGGTCCA